ACAGTTTTCTTTTCGTTTTGTGAAAATTATACATTTTGGACAAAACGCAAAGTTTGTTCTTCAATTATATATTTATAGTTATAAGAAAGATCGGGATAGTAGACTCATTTTTCAGTTTCGAATTTTTACAGACGAAATTAAGACACTTATCGAAAAAATAAATTCTACATCAGTTACTACATACATTTGACTATCTAATAATATTTTAATAATAAGAGAAAACTATTATGAAACTAATATGAAAAAAAATATTTTTTCTAATGCATTCCATCTGATTGAACTAGCTCCAGGATAAGATGACCAATAATATGGAGTAATTTGATTAACATTATTAAAATGAAGGTTAATGTATATTTAATCTTTACATATCAAAGCTTTCATAAAAATGTATTTTAAACATCAATGTGTTTAGAAACTTTTTATAAAACTTTTATAAAAATGCACTTTAAACACAAACATATTTATAAAATAAAAAAAATATAACTTTGTACCTTGTTATTAGATAAATAACAATTTATCTAATCCGAATCATTATCCGAATTACGTTATAATAAACATAATAAGTTATCCTTTATTTAGAATGTGTCTATGCATATTCATAAAATTATTCTTTTAATTATTCTTAATGTTTTCACATTATTATTATACTACTTCTATTGCACTTAAAAGTAATTTTACAAAAGAAAGAAGGATACAAGAACATATATGTACACATATACAATTTCATATACAATTATTTATGAATATATTTACATATTTAATAAATGATCATAAACACATAGTATAATTTATTACACATATAATTATTATTATACATAGTATAATTTATTATATTACGTATGTTTATACATATTTATATACATTCATGCATGAAAAATTTCTTATACATGTAATATAACTGTTATTGCATATTTTTATTATTAAAATTCATTAAAACTACAAAAATTATTGCATTATAGATGCATTTAAAATAAAAAAGAATACTCTCTAAATTTTTTTGAGTGAAATTTCAAAGAGGTGTGGAAATACAATTATGTATAGAACAGAGTGAGATCGTTCTAGTAAAAAAAGTTAATCGTTCTAGTAATTAAAAGTTAAGAAAACAATTGAGAATAGGATTTTTAATTTGTATCATTTTTCTGTAAATTTGTATCATTTTCTATTGTTGACCTCGCGAGAGCATCACGATTGATCGAATATAAATCCTATCATATTTTATCGGATTTTATAAGATTTGTACAAGATTCCTATAAGATCTAATTCAAATTAGTGAATTTATAAACAAATATTCAAAACGGTAAGATTTCAGGATTTTTTTTTATCGTTCTTTGTCAACGTCTTTACCAGGTAAAGACCTTTCGCGTAGTGAATGATAGGTTTTTTCACCTAACAAATTTTAACAATTAATTTTTCTATTCGCAAGGCAGAACAATGTTTCTTTTTGCTAAATTCGTTTGTTTCGAGCAAAAATACATCGAATGAGCCTAATTTTATCGAGATTGGATATGAAGGAATCAAACTTATAACATTTATAATACCACTGAGGTAAAAAATAAATCTCTTTAGAGGAATGAAATATTGACATTCTTTTTCAAGAAGTGAAACATTTTTAAAACTCTTTTTCAAAACTAACTCTATTTTCATTCTTTATAGAGATTATCCAAGAAGTTTAAGAGTAAGTCTATCAAAGTCGTCACTAAATTCGTCATATAGTCCTGTGTGATTAACTTACTAGCCCCATCCGTTCATTTTTTATAAACATTATATGATGACAAAGACAGATAAACAAAAAAAATCTATTGAACTTTATTAAGTAAGAACTACACTTACTATCTAAATGGAAATCAAATATTTCAGGCAACTATATATATATATATATATATATATAACTCT